AATATAAAACGATATTTTTTCCTGAAAAAAAAGCATTCTTATCTTATTTCTCTAATAATTCAACATAATTTGTCTGCTGAATTTCGCTTGTCATATCTCTAGATGAGTTTTTGTATTTATGATAGTTTAGTAATGTTGTCTGTTAAAAAGATAATTTTTTCTTTGGCAATGAGCGAAAACTTGTTTCATTACAACCATTCCGGAAGTAATTATTGTGTTGATTTATAACTTAGCCACTCATGGAGCGTTGAATAATCTGCACATCACCTGGTATGAAACTCCAAAATATAGTTCAACTGCACATGCACACAGAGCAAGCACAAGTATAGCAGGTGTATACTTAAATTAACCTCATCAACACTGCTTGCTCTGTTAACAGGTGTGTTGAAATTGATCAAAAAACGTTTATCCTCAGTGGAAAAATAGTATATATATATATATACATTAATATAGCCACCAATAAACATACATATCTTTATTTTCATTTTTTGACGCTATTCAGCGTGAAAGCTAAGTTCAACACTTTGGTTTTATTCACCTCTCTACAGGTGTGATTTTTAATATGAAAACATTCGCATTATGTAATAAAAACAATGTTTTGAGCTTTGTGGACACTGTTTGAGGCAAAGTTGTTTTTTGTAGTGTGGAAGGAAGTCGTTCTCACATTTTATACAAAAGTTTTTCTTACCCGTGAGAAGAAAGGCACATGGGATATGTGGAGTTTTACTTCTATAGATTTTATATATATTTATAGAATTTGCTTAGAAAAGAAAAATCTAAGTTTTTGTTAAGCAGCTATTTGTTTGGATTTCAGAGTTGGTATTATGACTTTTTAACTGCCGTTTGTAAGAATACTGTTCTCTATTGTTTGCCAAGAAGTTGTTTTCTCAACCTTATGGTCGAAGGTTGTTAAAAATATTATTTCGAGAAGCTTGGATGGAAACAGTTTCAAAAAGTTAAAAGCTGATCCTTGAAGTTTATTGGAATGCTATTTCCAGAGCTTGTATAAAGATAGATTTATCATTCTTTCATACATGAGTAATAAAAATAAAACTATTAGCAAAGTATCATTAAAGAAAGAAGACATAGTACAGCCTGTGTGCATAGAAAATCTTGCCAGACCTTATTTGAAACAGAATAAGACATTTTTTTCTTGTTCAATTAACCAGGATCTACATACCCTGACTGCGTGACTGATCCGTTAAACCGCCTGAGTGGTTCTCATCACTCGCTAGTATTCGTATCAGTGCATGTGTTCACCACGTTCAGTAACATTTAAAGCAGCAGTTACTATTCAGGTAACGTAGACGTTCTTGCTTAACATCTCGACTATCAGACAAGTTTTGTAGGTGGAGGGAATAGAAAAATAAGACGATGGTCGAGTGATTTCATAGAAATCAGTCCCAAGCTCCTTTTATGAGAATAAAAAAGATTAGGACAAAACGTATTCACATAACTAAAACTCAATGATCCTTCAATAAATGAAGTCATCGTAAACCGTTTTTCTGATACTATGTACATCTTTCGTTAGCTGTACCTAGTTTCTAATTGCCGCACACCAGTAAGCCTATTTCATTAGCAATGCTATAATATCGTAGCTGTTAAAGCACCTAAGCTGATGATACAATCAGTGAAATCGAATTGTTTCAAATTTTAGTTTTCTGGTGTATTGGTTTGTAATATTAACTAAATCTAACCAATATGATGTGCTAAACAGCGTTATGTGACGTATTTATTATTATATATTTATTTTAATATCATAGTTTCTTTAAATGTAGTTTATATTTAGAAACATGCGTATCTTATAGTGTTAAATATGTATTGCAAAACTCTCGCCTATTCTCTAAAGTTATAGAAGATTCTCGAGTGTAAGAATCCACAATGTATGTATGTACGTAAACGCT